GTTTATTATTATTATTACTATTTAATCTTGGCTTAGTGATATATACCAGGGACCTGGCAAAGTGCTTGAAATACAAAGAAGACAAAAACAGATGTAGTTTCTGATATTATAAAACACATGGAAAAGATGCAGGTTTGTTAGCATATGTCTGTACTTTGTATTCAAATCTATTAGAGTTTTATATACATATATAGAATGAGTTTTTGCATATTTTTGTGTTTGGATGCTATTCATGTCATATTTTATAGCTCTACTTTGATTTTTTTTAATGTTTATTTATTTGAGAGAGAGGCAGAAAGAGAGGGAAAGAGAAAATCCCAAGCAGGCTCTGCACCTTTAGCACAGAGCCCAACGTGGGGCTCAATCTCATGAACCTGTGAGATCATGACCTGAGCTGAAATCAGGAGTCAGATGCTTAACTGACTGAGTCACCCAGGCACCCCACTCTGCTTTTCTTTTAATATAAGTGCTTGCGTATTCTACATTTCTTCTGTATACAAACACATACATATACATATTTCCAAATATTAACCATTGGTCAAATGAGCTATCACTGTATTTGCTCATTAGCATGTGGTAATAACGAGTTACAGAACATTTTATGAGTTACAGATCTCTTCTTACCTTTATCATCTTATAACAAATTAGGTTGGCAAGTTTTTAATTTCAGATTTTCAGAAGCAACCAAGTATTATAGGATCTAAGTGATTCATCCTAGTTCACTCATTCTGGTCTATATGAACAGGATTCAAAATCGATTATTTTGTCTACAGAGTTTCTGCTTTAAGCCAATAGGAGACACAAGTGCCTTGGAAACATTGACTGGAAAATAGTTATATATATATATTTTTTGTGAAGTATAGCATTAAAAGAGTAAAACACAGGTGTAAATATAAATGTTGATGAAGAAAAACACTTTCATCTTTTTTTTTTAATGTGGGTAGAAACTCATTTCTTCTGCAATAGCATTAGTCAATTTATTTTTCTTGTTCACAGCACTAATGTTTACAGCACTAGTTCACAGATGTTAGTTGCCATGAATATGTATCAGCAGAAAGTGTGAACCACAGCCTATATAGTAGCTATTGCAAACTTCACCTCACTTTCTCTGTTAAGCATCTGTTTATGGCTCTCACTTTTTTTTATCATATGTGCGCCCTTGTACCTTTAATGTCCTTTGTGTTCATTCTATGAGATGAAGTTAATTTTCTCTTGTTTCTCAAGATGGAGATTATTTATGCTATTTTACAGACGTAACATGGGAGTTTTGGTATGCCCATCATGTACCTAATTTTATTTTCTTTGAAAATGTATCTTCTACATAACACAAGCTTCTGTATTCAATTCAGGTTATAGCTACAATTCAGGTTGTAGCTACATGTGAAATTCAGGTTAGTAGCTACAATGTGTTAGTAACAATTCAGGTTGTAGCTACATGTGAAACAAAGACACAGAGAGGAAGGAAGGAAGGAAGGAAGGAAGGAAGGAAGGAAG